AAAGAAGGAAAATGAGGTTTTAAAGAGAAAAACTTGTGATCTTGAAAATGTGATTTCCAAATTTACTTTGAGTAAAGAAAATTTTGATTCTATCTTAAAATCTCAAAGAAATATTTATGACAAAGGGGGCATTGGATTTGATTATTCTAAAAAGCAAAAGACTTTTAAGACTACCTTTGTAAGAGCAAGTCAATCTTATCATCCTAATGTTACTTGCTATTGTTGTGGTGAAAATGGACACTTTGCTTATGTATGTCCTTTGAAGAGATTGATAGCTCAAGGTAAAGTGAAGCAAATTTGGGTTCCAAAAGGAACTTTAAGCACTAACCCCCATGGACCCAAGCAAATTTGGGTACCAAAAATCCAAACTTAATTTTGTTTTGTAGGAAAAGTTGATGGCAAAGTCACTAAGGAAAGCAAAGTAGATCTTAAAAGGACTTATGCCTCAACAAGAATGTTGGAGTGGAAGTGCAAAGGAAATTTGTTTTTGAATGCTCCACTCATGTGCTCAAATTGGTATTATTTATTTTATTGCATTTATTCATGGAGTATAATTACTTCAACATGACTATTAATGATTTGTTTATATGTGCTCACTCTTTGATACATATGCTTGTTGAGTATGATTCCATTTGATGTGTCTTTCCTAGTGCTTGATATGATTCTTGAAATTAATGAATATGCTTATTAGAAATTGTGCATATTGATATGTGTACCTTGATTATATTCATGATATTTGATGATGCATTCATTGATATATGACTAAAGTTGCATTATTTAGTAGTGGATGTCCAATTTAAACTTAGTTAAATGAAGAGATATCAAATTAAGGTGCATTCCCTTCAAAACAGCCCCAAACTTTCTGTTTGTCCCAATCAAGGCCAGTAGAGCCGGCTCATCCCTTTTCACAGCCGGCTCAACCAAAAACCCGAGAGTATTCTCTCTCTACAGCACAGCCGGCTCAACTTGAAAAGGCCGAGAGTCTTCTCTCTCTAAACCTCAGCCGGCTCTAGGTTCTCCAGCCAGCTCACACTGCAAGGGACTCGACCCGGACCCGCTTTACTGCCGGCTCTGTAATTATAGCCGGCTCTCCTGCAGAATTTTTAAAGCCACGGGTTTCTCTCTCCCCACACAAACCAACCCAGATCTGTTTCAAACCAGCGACCTCTCCTCTCCCAAAACTCGCCATTCACTCTCTCAAACACCAAAATCCCTCCAAATCTCCAAAGCCCATCCCTTAAACACTCAAATACCTTCAAATCCTTGCCTACCCAACACAAAACCTCAAGCTTTTCACTTCAATTTGTGTGGGATCTGTTGTATTTTTGGTGTGGCTGGTATTTTTGTTGGGATTTCTCTCTCATGGCTTCAAAAAGGGCTGGAAGTAAAAGGAAACAAGTGGGTAGTTCTAGTGCCGGTGGCCAGGCCCAAGAAGAAGGTAACCTCGTTGATAATGCTCTGTTTGTGGATGATGATGCCATTAATCGCTATAATTTTTTCAAAAACTTGGCTGTGCTACCAGGCAATTGTGTGAAATTCAGTCAATTTCCTCAAGGAGATATGCATGTTGAACAAATGTTTAGGGAACTTGGGTGGAAGGAGTATGTAGAAATTAAGGAGCATGTGTACTATGAAGTTGTTCATTAGTTTTATGCTAATTTGAAACCAAGAGGGAATAAATGCAAAACTATGGTTGATGGGGTGTCATTTCAGTTTTCTCCAAGGGATATTTGTGCTGTATTAGATATACCTGAAAGAGGAGATGATGAGTTTCTAGATGTGAATCATGCCTTAGTTAGAGCCACAATTGCCCCCAATTGCGTTGAAAATCAAATTAAAGTGGGGTCTCTTACACCAGAGAATAGAGCATTGCAGTGGATTATATCTCGCATTATTGCTCAGAGGAAAGGTTCTAAATCTTATGTTCTTGCCAGTGATCTTCCCTAGTTCGACTATCTTCTTAACGGAAAAAGGGTGAACCTAGGAAGATACATTTTCTGGAGCATAATCAAGCCTTACTCACCAACTACGGGACTTCCTCATGGTGCTTTAATTACCAGATTGGTGAAGAGGAACAATATTGATATTACCTCCTTTCGGTTCGGAACAGTTCCTGGTGGGACTACTCTTACCAAAGCCTCTTTTGAGAAAATGGACTGTTTGTTTATAAATGGCATTTGGATAAAGAAAAGGGAACAAGAAAGGGATGAAGAAGAAGGTGATACAGATCAAGAAATGGCAGAACAAGGGGCAGAAGAACATGAAGATGACAACCCAAGACCATTTCGAGCCTCCATGCAAAGAACTAACCGTGAAACCATGGAGCTAATGATATCTGAGATGCAGCAGCTGCACACCGACTTTTATGGTTTCCGGACAGAAATGAGAGGGATAATGACTAACGTGGAAGGAAAGCTGACTAACGTGGAAGGAAAGCTTGATCGGCTTGTTAACCATTTTTTTCCTCCACCCCCACCTGATGCCACCTAACTTGATATCTCTTTAGTTTGGCTAATCTTTAGGATGGACATCTTAGGGTTATGCATTTTATGTTTTATTTGACTATGGATATGTCTTGAACCTATTTATCTTGTTTTATGATTGGAAATGGCATCACTTGTGTTATCATGCTTTGTGAATGGTTGCTTATGATTTTGATGATACTATGCTCTTATTGAGGGGGAGTTTATTGATTGATGATTATATTCATTACATATTCTTGATGCTTTAAAGGTTGATAGCATGAATTAAGGGGGAGCATTTTGTGCTTAAATTGCTTTTCTTAATGGTTATCATGCTTAAATGCTTTAAAGATTGATGTGCATGAATTAAGGGGGAGTTTGTTGATTATGTGCTTTTTGATGAATGACAAAAAGGGGGAGAAGAATATGCTGAATTTAATGTCATTTTCTAGAGTACCTTGTGCTAAAATTCTGGTTAATATTGAAGTATATATGTGCTTTCATTAATTAATTCTCAAAGTGTTTTGTCATCATTAAAAAGGGGGAGATTGTTGTACCTATGATTTTGATGATTACAAAACACATTTGAGTGACTAATTGGTTTATTTAAGTGTGTAGTTAAGTTGCTAAAAGATTGCAAGTAAACTT